CTTCCACTTGTCAGCCCACCTGTGGGGGGGCATGCAGGTGTCTAATGCTGGTGTCGTGTGCGTGGGGAGCGACTGCCATGCTAGCCGCACATTTGGAGCCTGCCGCGCAAGCCTGGCACGGTGCCCGCCCGCCCGCCAGCAGCCCGCCCGCCAGCAGCCTGCCAGCCGCCAGCCGCCAGCCAGCCGCCCGCAGCCCAGCCGCTCACCGCTTGCCACACACATCCAGCGCCGCCTGCAGCAGCTCCCGCGCCTCCTGGTGCTGCCGCTCCGCCAGCAGCACCTGGCCCGTCTGCAGCAGCATCATGAAGGGGGCCTCCTCCCGCAGCAGCTCCCGCATCACAAAGGCACCGGGGCCCGCCTCGTCCTCGCCTGCAGGGCGGCGGGCGTGGCGGCGGGCGGCGTGTGTTGCTTCACAAGTGTGGTAGCATGAGGTGGGTGGTGGGTGGTGGTGGTGCCAGCAGCGGCCAGCATCCAGGCAACCAGCTGCCGTCTGCNGTGGGCGCCCTCACAGGAACCCCACCCACCAGCCCGCCCCCGCCCCCCGCCCCCGCCCCGGCCCACCCTCGCTCTCCGCGCCGCTCGGCGCGCCGCCGCCCGCCGCCGTGGCCGCCAGAATCTGCTCCGCCCGCTCATCCAGCTCGCGGATGTGCTTCTTGCGGCGATCGTACCGCTTGTACCCCACAAACACGCCTGCAGTACCGCAGCGAGCGTGGCAGGGTGGGTGCCTACCGCGGGGGAGCCAGCCGCAACGCAGCGGAGCACGAATCAGCGGCAGGGCATGCAAAGCCGCTCCTCTCCCTCCATCTCCCGCCCTGCGACCAGCTGGTCCCGCCCTGCAAGGCACCCTTGCCTCACAGCCCCCCAATAACCCCATCCCCGCCACCACCACCACCACCACCCCCAGCCTGCCCACCCTGCGCATCCGCCTCTGCCCCGCCGCGCTCCCGCCGGCCCCCCAGGAACTTGAGGCGCTTGGCCAGGCGCGGGTCGACGTCTCCCGCCACCTGGCGGTGCTCCGCCTCCAGCACGCGCAGCGTGGCCCCCAGCACCGGTACCGTCACATTCAGGTACGCATCCTGTGTGTGTGTGTGTGTGTG